TGCATTAAGGAGAACACACGAGAGCTGCGCACACTAACCAATATGCTGCGGTGGGACTTGCTTCATTACCTTATCCAAGGTCACTCTCCTTCACTTATGATAGTTTGTATGATGGAGTAAAAACAGCAAAGTTCCCATTTCTGCAAGATTCCGCCATCAAACAAGCGTCCTGTATCAACAAATCCCAACAGGTAGTACCTTTGACTACGGAAGTGTTACACATATGTATCAGCAGTAGTCAAAGAATTAAAGAGCGTTTTGGACAGTGTCGCCACGTGTTATTCTGCAATCGCGACACTCTAGGTTACAGGAAACAAAGTAGACGCGCAGTATTTGGGTACATGGAGCTAGTATTTGTGCTTTTACGTTCTCAACTGCCAAGCGCATCACTTCAGGAGGTTAGGTGGTTCAAGGGCAAATAGAAAATAGCCGGGAACTCATCATGCCGATGAATGAAATTACTGTTTTTTGGTAGTGTTCACACCATGGTTTGCTTAGTCCATATGTTTTAGACACGGTTAACTTTTTATCCGGCGGTTACGTGAAACTTCGATTGCAGGGAGTGCACTCCATTGTTTGCGCGCTATTTTGTGCAGAGAGCCAGAAGTCGCGAAAAATGTCGCTTTAGTTAGTGAGTCCATTGTACGCGAAACAACTTTCGACTAAGAAGTTCTCTTCAAACGCAATGTACAAGGTGGCCGTTCGGCAGGAACAATCATATCTTATAATCATCTCTTCAGTGCTTCGCAAATATTATCAAAAATCGTTCCACCGTGCAGTTTTTGTCCTGCTATTCTGCTTTTCATGGTTAACTACTTGCAGGATGTGACATGCATCGTCATCGCTGTGGCAAGAAGGACTCCTTGTTATGCGCCTGTCTCCTCACACTTCTTGCCATGCTTTTCTGCTACTACTCTACTCTTCAAATCTCAGAAAACGAGCAAATACCTGTCAAGAAGAAATCAGCAGTGACGGTAGATTTTTGCACCTTCTGACTTCGATTAATCTCAAAAGAGAGCTTTCAGCACCGCTTTTTTTTCTGTCTGAAGTTTAGGAGAGTGGTAGACAACGCTGCGCTCTTAGCCAATGTTCACATAAAGTGCTACTAAAATGCTCAGACGATGAGGAAATAAAAATCTCTGCTACGCACCGGAACCTCTCACCATGCGCGCGGCGGCGTTCTCTTATGGTTAGCTGATTAACAGGGTAGTGAATGCCGCGTGTGCGACCCCACTTATGCGTTCGCAGTCGCAATCGCCGCTTCCTGACTCACGTCCAAAGCGTAATGAGATTGAGAAATTCGGCTCAGCTCAATAGGTTATCGGTTTAGGTTATCTGGGAAAAGCCCCAGTGTTGCGAAACAAAAAAGCAACTGATATACAGGGTGGGCAAAAATTACGGTAACAGGATAAAGTGTTCATGGAAGAGCAATTCGGCCAGCAAGACACACGTGGACCCCAACAATGTATTCATAGGAGGTCACCAGACAGAATACAACATCACTTCTTGGACTGGCCGCTGTTTGCGTTTATACCTGAATGAAGTCATCTCGGGAACGCATATGGCCTGTTGTGTAGGTAGGTGACATCGAGCTTACCCTAGGATCTTCTTTAATTCGTCGATGCTTTAGTGATACTCGTAGTAGCCCATCGTCTTCAGTAGACTCCACGGAAAATAACCCACTTGCTTTAACACGGGAAAATAAGGTGGCCCCTCGTTCAATGGCATGAATTCGGAAAATTCTGCAAAACCCAATGTTGCACAATATTTGCTTTGTGCACAAGCGGTCTACCTTGCTGTTGTGTCTAGTGATTTCTCTCCGGGGTCTCTTCAACCAGGTGCATTTATTAGGTTCGAAGGAAATCGAGATGTTTGGTTAGCGCTCTTGTGCTTGAATATCGTTCGAATAGTTTGGCTTTCAGCCATAGCTAGGATCTCTCGTTGGGTCAGATGAAAAGGGCGGGCAGAAGGACACGAGATCTGCATCAGGGAGGAAGAAGGACTGATGTCAGTTTGTTCCTTTTGATTCGGCTTGATTTAGACCAGGATAATGCTAGCCGCGCAACAGCGATGTTCCGTTTGTCGAGGCGGAGTAGGACCTTTTTGAGACGCTTGTCATCGCTCCCCTCGAGGTAATAATCTAATATTGATATTCTTTTTTTTCGTCGGTATTTATGGCGCTTTATGTTTCATTCTGGTACTTAATGTTCCGCCATGTGTGTTCCGACCTACACTGCTAGGTACTAATCCCACCGCCATGCCTTATTGTGATGTTTGAAAGGCGACTGTTCATGATTCTACTTGCTTCATGTTCACTGTTTCAAAGTTCATTTAAATGTTCGTGATTCAATTTTGCTTTTTTTCTTCTTTTCAGTTATAAGCGTAGATTTTGATCTCAGAAAATGGTTTGCCTACTTAGTTCCAGTTCAATTTCCTCTTGTTTATTTCGAACCTTTTTGAGATTATAACATTAAGTCGCTGACGGCTATGTTATATGGCCTCTACATTTATTAACTCGCATCGGACAGGTCTTGAAGGCGTGCATAACGGTAATCTTGGCTGCCAGATGCGAGATACACAGTTCCACCTAGTCGTAGATAGCTTGATAGGAACTCCTAGATCGTTGTTGTATTTGTGTAAGGCTCGTTGTAAATTCGCGATAATTCAGTGTAGTGCCGCTATTATGAGTAGTTATTGCCGTAAAGATCTATGGTTCTCGAACCTCGTTGGGCTCGCAACGTGAACATGTTCCTTGAGATGAGAATCTTCATGATGTTCAGTTAGGGGTGCTGGCTGCTAGGAGTATTGGAGGTTTGTAGGCTGTATATTGATTATTATTTTATTAGTGAACAATAGGCACTAGAATGGTGCTCTTCTATGCATGGAGCCATTCGGTTTTTGGTTTTTTTTTTGGTCACAAGGGAACAAGTAATTTACATCCTTGCTTGTGGCGCGCGGATTATGTTCACGTCAAACGATAGTGAGTAAGCGGTGCTGATGGTAGAGTAAAATCTTGCCTTTTTCTTTGATGTTTGGTTTCTCGCGCCCCCTGTTAGTAGTAGGCGGCGGGGAGGCGTTGAGTTTCACACTCTAGAAAATTCGCGGCTGGGTAGACAAGTGGTCCTCCTTTCGGAAGTGAACACGGAGTGCACTTTCGCGGAATACACAGCGTCGTCAGACCACTTAAATTTGATCATTACGGTTCTTTGACAGACGCACACTGTGCAATATGTCCAGGCTGGAGAATTTGGAGGAAAGCGACGACACTTTCTTCCACACTGCTTGCTGGATATCTCCAACTCACGCTTGATAGTTTCCGCTAGCCGGTTTTCTTTCTTGCAGCCAAACGAAGAACTCAAGAGGTAGGAATTTACATGTACTGTGCGTGTGATTATGGAGAGTGCATATGACCGAAAAACTTGCTTATTCAAGCGTAATAAGGAGAAGTTCTACAGTAAACTTGGATACTATCCTATTCAGTCACAGCACAGACTTACAAAGCGTTCGCCTCTCAGATCTGCTCTTGTTAGTCCTAATTCTTGACCTCAGTCGCATATTATAAGATAATGAGTGAATAAGGGTGAGTGAGACTTAACAGAATACAGCTACTGATACTGTTGTAAGCGTAGATACATTCTCGGCGCAAGTAGAACTGAGGTTGTTGGCAAGCGCTGAGTAGTACATAAGATCATGAATCTCGGAGTTGGGTATCTGATGAGTTTCTCATCGCTGCTTAGATCTCTCATATGTGAAGTAAGAGCCCTCGCAGTTTTAGTGACTGAGCAGCGTGTTGAAATGTTTGGTTTCGATGCGCTTTAGAATATATTCGGTTTCTGCTAAGATATTGTCTGCATGGTGGCTACTATGTAAAAGATTTTGAAAGGGGATGACCTCTCGATGACGGGGGGTCCCGCAGAATTGGCTTATCAGGTCGTCGGTAGGGGGTCCTCTAGAAACCATATGCAGCAGGTAAATTTCGGCAAAGAATGATTATAAAAATTTAATTTCTTCTTACTTTGTATTCGCTCTCTCGCTTAGTGAAAAATGAGTACGGTCGAAAAGTATGGTGAAGGCGAATTAATATAGACTGGAATACTCTGAGCAGGGCATACGAACTCGTCAAGCAGATGCGTTGTATACATTAGGTATATTAGGAGAGGGTGTATTACACTTTGCGACATAAGTGTATTAGCCCCCCCCCCCGCTCGACGGTAATTTGGGCTAGAAAAGTGATTGGTTATTAGTATATTTTAGGGTAGTTTTCAAAATGTTCATTTGAAGTGGAGTTAAGCGGGAGATTCTCGTTCGCTCAGGAATACATTCCTAGTTGAAAATTGCACGATAGCGCACGACCTGATTCGCGAGTATCGTGGCAGAAACTTGTGGCTCGAGTCCGCGATAACTACGAATTGAAGGTGGGGGGCTTGATGTCTGATTAAAGATTCACAAAGTGTTCGTGAATATAAGCGGATGGAGAGCAATACGTCGAAATTGGGTCGTCTAGAAGTAGAATGCGCATGCGTTTTGGAAGGAGTTAGAATAAGAGATGCTGCTCATTACAACGTGATCTGGCAGCAATGCTAAGTGTATGTAGCTTTGAAATGTCGAGTGTTTATTAAGGGACGACGGCGTATCGTGAATTTGGCTTTAAGCGAGCGTGCACGCAGCAAGTCTTCACGGTCGGGTGCGTGTGACGACATTCACAGTTACCTGGAGAATCATTTGGAGAGATCTGGTCAAGTGTGTAGGCAGGCATGGGTCGAGAAGCACAAAACACATCAGCTTAGGCGGGGCTTTCCACGGATCTGTCGGGTGCGCAGACGACGAAGATTCAAGTAAGCTCCTAGGAGATCGTTCTGAAGAGGGAAAGAGTTTGAATGTGCACCGACTTTGCTGAGTTTAGGACGGGAGAACGCGCGTGCCAACTGGCTTTCTAAGTGGGTCGGGGAGAAATATATGTGTCCGCTGGAGAATCGATTACGCGGAGCGGAATATGGTTCATGGCAGGCTATCTAAGATTGTCCTATACCGCTCAAGATGCCGGAGGTACCGCCCCAGACTGGTGAATGTGTTCTTACACAGGGGCGGAGGGGTGGAGAGGAAAGTGCAAGGCGGGCGGTGTAGTGGTCGGAGGTTGACTTCAGGAGTAGAAGAACCTCGTGTAATAACATTGCAATTCCATGTGTGCACAATTCGCGGCGTTTTAGCACCGTGGAGCATCGAGATTGGGACAGGGGAGGATCGGGGGAAGGAAGCCGACACTTATTTGTTTGCCGACTCGCTCGTATAGAGTTAGGTATCCAGAGTGGGGTGGCAAAATGGCACTTACGGAAATCATAAGGGGATGGAGTTCTCTGACAAGTCGCGCACGGGATATGGGGGATAGGATTAGCGCAGCTTGCGAGCGCTAAGGGTACCCTACTTAAAGGACGAATTCACGATGAAAAAGCAACCCATTTCAAATTAACCTAGGGATGGTGAGTGGTACACGAAAGAAGGAAGAACCATGAGAAACGGCCCAGAACCCGAGAAATGGGACCCCTTCCTTGCCCGTTGATTTGAGCATTGATGCGACTCTCATCGCTGTGCCCTCTTCAACACTACGCTCTCTCAGCTATCTAATCACTCGCCACGTATTGAACTACGGCGAGTGATCAGATGATCGGTGGGCGGAGATCGCCGGACCCGCCAGCTTTGAGGCATGATAGGTCGCCGAGGTCAAATTTTTCCATGCGAATTGCGCGTCAGTTCGCACCCTCAGGAGGTCCGTGGGTCCCTCAACTAGGTCAGTTTCCCTTTCTTCGACCTTCATTCTAATCGTGAATTCCTCCTTTAAACTGACGCCTAACCGCTACAGTATGCGCTGCGACTCGTCCTTTGCCGCGTCTGCGTCTCTTCCTTCGCCGCGCGACGGGCCTCTTGGGGGACACCCTGAAACGGACACCACCCTTAGATGAACTTGGCTATGTGGGCGGGAATATTTGTCTGCTAACAGCACCTCGAGTCATTTCCACGGTGGGTTTCGACCCAGCTTTATTACGGATACCTCAAGTGTCCGGTTTTGTTGATGTTGCTACAAAAATCGACGACAAACTAAAGTCCTCTTACCACTAGACGTGGCGTTCCTTCAAATCGATACCGGAGCCGAGCTCAGCAATCTGCAAGCAATCTTTCCTCCTGTACAGTATTTTCGACATTTCTGGCCAGAATGCAATCGCTCTTGCTCTTGCGAATCCACCTAGTTGTGGAAATTTCTCCACCAGAAGAAATGATGGAGGGTTGGGTGCATTTTCCTGCATTTTCCGACCATCTGCTTTGTTGGTTTCGGAAATGAGATGGCACTCTTGCATATGATATAAACAGCAGTTGAGCTCTTCACTGACTCGACCGCTTCGACGACCTCGATTTACCCAGATTCTTTAGCAATATTCCTACGGTCCTTGGTTGCGGTCTATTTGAGAGCGGAATGTTTCAGTCACCCTTTCGGCAGAATGAGTAGCCTTTCTCCCTGTCCCAGGCCTATGCATGATGGATCCATTTTTCTTAGTACCGTTTGACACTCTTCAGCATAGATACGACTTCTCCAAATTTTTCAACCCCCAGCTTCCTTCATTCTGGGCTGGAAGCTTCCAAACGCTCACTAGCAAATGCACGCATATCAGTGACCATGATGGTGGTTATGCTATTGATCAGTTGTTTCCTAGAAGAGATAAAACTTGGAATAAACAAAAGTGTCGAAATTGCGACAGAATTATGAGACAACCCAATAAATGTAGGGCAGAAGTTGGTAAATGATCTCATGAAAATTCTTCATATGAAAGTATTCGGAACTTGATGGGACCATTTCTTTTTTCTAGCTTGTAGTTCTCATGCCTGGCGCTGTGAACCGCTTACTTCCAGACGCTTTTAGAGTTTGAGTTTACCGGTCCAATAAAGAGCATGAAAGCGAATAGGGTAATGCAGTTTGTGTTTTATGGCTTACGTTATATATTAAAAAGGAACGTGAAAATCGTTACCGAAATTTTCTTTCTTTTTCTATTGCCAGTTTGCTAAGGTTTTTTTTGGCATATTTCCAATTCATTACAATCCTCAATTAACCAAATTTTCAGATGCGGAGCAGTCCCGTCTTGATTTATCAGCCTACTGATTTCGCTTCTCCTATTCTGCACGGTTCTGCTATTTTTCACCAGGAAGGGTGTCAAATAAGAAATTGCATATTAACTTCGCTTGGTAAGTAGTTTAGTGATGCAAATTCATATACATGTGCAGTTATTGTGAAGAACTTGGTTTGGAACACTAACGCACCTGAACAAGCGCTGACCAGTACCCACTGTGAAACTTCGAAATCTCGCGAAAAATGTAATTTCGCGATTTTTTTTTCGGAATAGTTCGGTCTGAAATCAGATTTTCCCAATTTTGAAGACATTGTTGAACCTGATGGTGGAGATCTGCATGTGTTTTTCCTTATTCAACACCTAGGCCACAGCGGCGCAACTATGTACGCCGCCACCTTTGCGCCTAATCGGATATTGTGGCAACTATGTATGCCACACCCTTGCGCAAATGCCCGATCTCCTCCTATGCCTTTTGCGCTCATTTTGTAGTCTATACATCAACATAACCTAAAAGCACGTCGCTTATAGAATGACCAAATATTCCTTAATTTGACACAGGTTTTCTAGGCCTTACTCAAATGCTATTCAGTTTATTCCTTGC